TTATTTATTTATTTTTTGTTCAAGCATATATTTTTATAGTTATTTTATTATGAATATATTTTAACTTATATTATTCATTTTGATCGCTTTTAATTTTTAACTACAAACAGAAAACTTTCAAAAACAAAGCAACAGGATATGAAAAAAATGTTAGAAGATAACAGTCTAATCCATGCAAGCAGGCAAGCAGGCAAGCAGGCAAGCAGGCAAGCAGGCAAGCAGGCAAGCAGGCAGACTATAACAATATGCAAAGACAATCGTCTAAAGCTCGAACTTGTATTATAAGTTGGATATACAGACAAAGACATCGAACTGGTTTGGAAGAAAAACACCATAGAAATAGAGAACAAGGAGATGGCTCAATTTTCCGTCAGTAAAGTCAAACTGAGCAGTGATTTGATAAAATACACACTAGGTGAGTAACTGAGATGTTCGGTGGGCTACTATCTTTAGTTTGTGCTTTATTTCAAGAATCTGTTACAAATATCCGTTTCTTGTAGGTGAGTCGCGTTTTTTATGAGTACATCCAAAAACCCGCCTATATTATTAAGCAATGTGTTGTGATTCAACTAATTTCTCTCGAGTTGTCAACTAATTTCTCTCGAATCTCCACATGCTTTATAAGTGCATACCGCACGCGCGCGCCTTTTCGCAAATGACGTCCTAAGAAAAAGGCAACCCCTGAAGAGGACAGCGCGCACTTGAAAAGTTGTATTGACAACATATGCTCGTGTCATCTTTCTGGCGTCACAAAAAATGCCTAAGCAGCCAATACTACTATTATAAAAGCTAGTAAGTGTCACTGTCCATATAACGCAGCTTACATTATAGAAAAAAAAGGGAATCGAAGAACGGAACTATTTCATCGTATTTTGTTTTCATATTTAGGTAATTTCACTCGTTTGCAAGCCATATTTCTCCTGGATCGTCGCGTTGGTTATTACGTCATTCAGATCTACGTCCCGTGTATCTTCCTAGTCATGCTGAGTTGGATTGTATTTTGGATGGGAACAGAAGAGACTGGCAACCGCCTGACTGTAGGAATCACTACTATTCTTACGATTGTGTTTTTACTGGGTTATACCAACAGCTCGCTACCAAAGGTAACTAGTAGAGGCACGGTTACTTTACATATAGACGACGGCTGAGATCAAAGCTCAAAATTACCGTCAAAATTACCGTCACGGTCATGGTACGTCACACTGACCAAATGTGTTTCATAGTCAAATTAAGTCCTTTCTATATATTAGATGCTTGGTATGTAGGCTACGACATGTCACGTAGTTACGTACCATATGTTTTCCATAGTTAAATTTAGTACGCACCATATTGATGGGTTGCAAGCGTTCCCAAGTGAGTTAAAAGACAAAAACATGGCGGCCATTGTGGTACCGTTAACAATGGATGCTAATGAGAAATATTTTGTTAAATGGTACCAACATGGCCGCGATGAAGTAACGTGCGAAATAGAGGATATTACATGGGCGCGTGGAGATACGAAATTTTTCTTCGAGTGTTGAAAAGATCTCTTTAAGTGAGCGCAGCGAACGAGTGAGAGATTTTCAACACGAGGAGGTCATTCTGTAGAATGACTTTCATCAGCTGAGTGAAAGCCAGCAATCGCTTGTATCTCCGTATCTAAAACTTCTTTTAGCTAGAACTGTGGCTGAGATATAAAGTTTTTGTTGCTCTTTCGTTTTATGGAAATTTTGTTTTATATAAGTTTTGGGAACATTTTCGATTACGTAGGTGTAAGCCAAGAATATCCCTCCACTCAAAAGGAGTGAGGAAATAGCCCGATCAACCAGAGCTATTTGAGAACTAAGTGGAGCCTAGAAGAGAAAAGAACATCCAAAATGCCAATTTCGGCTTACTTAAGGTGGTTGACTACTCTGTTTTCAACATTCGATTTGAGCCCTTGATGTGCGCGCGCTCAAAAACCGAATAATCTTCACGATTTTTTTGAAGAACCAACCATACACGCTTTGAACTTCAAGAGGGCAAAACCCTAAAATTTTGCACGGGGATCTCTCTCTATTTTTTGTTATTTTACAGAATAACAGGTAATATCCCATTATTTTTCAAAGTTTAAGGCAATTCTGTTTGTTAGAACAATGTAAAAAATCGTTCTGTTTGTTTTGTGCACAATTTTTGCGATAATTTGCACACCATAGAACCTGAACAAAAAGAGCTTTTCTATTGTCTACTTTTTTATCGCTGCGCTCACTCTGAGATCTTTTTAACACGAGAAGATAAATTTCGTATCTCCAAGCGCCCATGTGATATCCTCTATTTCTTGCATCGAAAATAATAGTGCAAATGGATCGTTTAATAAGATATATTAACATTTATATACAATCTTTATTCATCAGGTCAGCTACGCAAAGGGAATTGATTGGTACTTGATGGTATCTTTCATCTTTATCTTCATGAGTCTGATCGAGTGTATTGTAGTCGATAAGTGTTACAAACTCAACAGAAGAAATATCAGGAACTCTGCAAGAAAGGTAACAGTTTTTCGTTTATCTTTCACAAATGTTCGTGCCTGAATTATAAATTTTATGAAATTCAAAACCAATCTAAACTAAGAAGCATATTTTAAAACCCTTAGGTTACTGGAGACCATCAGGGGTATGCTTTTCTTAAAGTGCAAATGAACCCTCCGACAATATTTTCAGTACTGATTCTACATGAAGTAAATAGTTGAATGGTAAAAACGCTATTGCCATTAATTCACATCTACTGATTTGTGGTTAAGGCTCTGGCATTGTTTCAAATTAAAAAATCGTTTCCAAATAATATTCTTTTCTGAATCTTTATTATATGTACGATGGCCGAGGAATGCCTTCCGATTTCCGATTTTTTTACGATTTTTTGTTTTTACAATTTTTGTACAATTTTTTTTGTACAACTTTTTTAAATTAAAAAAATTTTTTTTAAAAATATTTTTTTTAAAGTGTACAGGTGAGCAGCACGAATGAACAACTGATCCTTCCTTAGGTTTTGTAAAAATTTTTTTTACTCCGACGCGTTTCGTCTGTAAGCAACAGACTTCTTCATGGAGTTTACAAATGAGTATTATTACAACAGTTTATATGGACTATTAACAGGAAATTGCAAAACATACAAACATGTTGTAGCAGGAAAGCACGTAAAATAGGCTAGGAAATAGTAGAATTTCCTAATTAATGTTATTCTATACTTTTTGGGGCACATGGTTAGCGCTAACCTAAACGCTAACATTAATTAGGAAATTCTGCTATTGCCTAGTGAGCTTCAATTATTATTCGCATAAGAGTAAGGGATTGTCTCCCGATTCAACAGCCTATCCCAATCTGGAGGCATTAATACTAACTTACTAACAAATCACCCATGATTATAAGCTGCACGGCTGCTACTAGCGCCTAAATACGCAGCCTGTAAAGTCCTCCACTGGTTATGATTGTGAAGCGCATTGAGACCATGTAAAGATGCGCTATATAAGAACCCCGTTATCTTTTATATATATCTATTTTCTCTAATCCGTATACACCTAATTGAAAAAACGTAGTCGGGTTCGAGAAGGTCATATCGTTGAAGCTAAGACCGAAAAGGATTTTGGGTACTCCGAAATGTGTATTATATTTTCATATAGACATGTAAAAATGCACAGTAGAGCAATGTCCGTCGACCTAGATTAATGAAATGTGCAATACGCATGAAATTAGCATAATTGTTTGTCTTTCCATTCTCCCCTTCTGTCTTAGTTTTGATGATACAACCTTTTTTGAATCCAACAACGTTTTTTTCAATTAGGTGTACTCCAGGCATGAATATTCTTAAAACAGAACCGTGATGGAGAGAGGAAGTAAAGTGCGCACCTTCAGCTCCCTGGAAGATTATGAAATAGCTGAAAGAACACTGACATTCAATAAGACATTAACTTTTTCATACCTTACCAAAATAACAACGATTTATAGACTCGTGCAATTTTGACTTTCAGAAAAGGAAAAGAAAGAAAGGTGTATTCAACACATCCATTAATCATACTAATGCTGGTATGAATGAAAAAGATATACAAACGAGCGCTACTCAAGCTGCCCAAGCAAATGAAGGGAATACATTAGAGATGAATTCGAGTATTTGCAACAGAAATGCATCAAATGAAAGCATCGACTTATCACCAGGCTTAGAATCCTGGGACAGCATGGAGAATGGGCCGAATATGAAAGACCTACCGACAAGTAATGGTTCAGCTACATTTTGCGCGCTCAAACCTTGGAAAGATATTTCGCTCGCGAGAAAAGTGGACAGAATTTCACGTGCTCTGTTTCCCTTTTTGTTTGCGGTGTTCAATATTGCGTACTGGTTTACGTATCTGAATCATATATATCTATTACATTCATGACCCAGACCACTTGCCCTATGTATAGGAAAACCTTCCTTGCACCATACCAAAAGAGGAAACTCCCAAGTAAAAGTATCAGGGATGGTCGTCGTGTATTTTGAAATTAGCGATTTAGTAACTTTTACTGATGAATTAAATAACTGAATAAATAATACTCAGTAAACAAGCTAACTCAGCTATTTGGTATGACAATAATATAGGATTTATGTATCGTATCTTTTAGGGTTTACAAAAGTTAAGAAAGCCACGCCCCATTTTAAAAATTTCTGGTTTCTTTTAGGGGTTTAGAAAATTACCAGAGAGCATCCACAATACTTTTACCCGAGATACTCTTACCTCTCCCCAAGGGCACAGGCATTCGATGCTGCTGATAGCAAGAATGCAATATATATATTCATATATCCAAACTACGATTGCAATACTGAATTGTCCAAATTAAGGTTAAAGAAAAAGTATCCATAAATCGGAGGTAGAAGAATGTTTGAAAATAAGAATAGTAAAATGATATGAAATGTTTCTTGTACCTACACTTGCAAGCGACAGCCAACCGCATTATTTGGAAATACATGAAAATACATTGTCCTTGTTTTATAAGGGCAGCAATTAATATTCAGTGGCTTAACAAACGTGTGGCCATCATTGGAATATAGAAGTCGATTTTGAAGGAGGAAAACCGAAGAACACAGAGGAAACCATAACAAGGGACCGAATCCATGACCACACACACAGCGGCTTAAAACTCACAATCAGGGCACGGCTAACTAACAGATCAAATCCTCCAACAATCTCTGCGCAGATCTAATTTTGGGCTCGCCTAGCTAACAAATTGAAACCTGAAGCAAATTTTGGCTGATCGTCTTTTTAAGTTTGTCTAGTTACCTTATTGCTTTACTGTTAGCACTAGTCCTTCTTGGTTGCGTGAGGAGTGGGGGCGAGTGAAGTGTCACTCGGGGAGAGTAAAAGTAGGGACCACTGTGAACAATACACAGAGAAACGAATTACTCGTTGTCTACACAACGCAAACTTCCCATTGGCTGAAAATGATCGATCTGTCAACGAGCTGTCAAGATGAAAAGGTAATACACTTCACTGATCCAGCATTTTACTGGTAAGCTTTAGTCATACGTTTATTCAAAGTAAAATCTTTATCGAAAACCGAAACGAATGTTTTATTATCTTAAATTACTATTATTCTTATCATTTCTTTAAGTTTATCATTGATTTATCGTTAGTATTTTTAGCGGAGCACCATACTTAAGAAAAAAAGGTAAACCATCGAGTTGATTTTTCATGGCTTGGCTGACGTCACTTCCGTCCGTCTGCTCAAGGACAAGTTATAGACCAAAAACAATTAAAAAAATACTTTCATGTAGTCAAAGATGGATCAAAAAGTGTTCTTCAAGAATTCAGGTGTGTTTTTTTAGCAAACAATCATATAATATATATATTTAGGCACTGCCTAGAGGCGGAGCTCCCGATACGGAAGTCACATGGAGAACAATTTGAATAAAACTGAAAGGTAAAAAAAAGATCGGGGAAAAAATCTTCAATTTTTTTTATTCGAGATGAAGATAATTTCTCCCATAATAAAAACCATGCAGTGAAATCGAATCGAAATGCAGTACACTGTTTTGTTGTTGTTGTTGTTGTTTTGCGCGAGTATACTCTCCCACTTAGGAATTTTGTACACAAATCACCACCACCCTCAGGGGCTAGTTTTGTTTTTGGAAGATTTTCTTCGACAAAATTTTCCAAGGCCGACAGTTTTAGGCTTTGAATCTCTCTTACTTTAAGAAAAACGAAAGATAACTACAGATAATCCAATACAATATCAAGTTTAGTGAAATTTACCTCGGATGTCTTCATCGAAATCGAAAATCTGGAGATTTAGGACAAATCAAGACGGAAAAAAAAAAAAAAGACTTGAAAACTGGTTAAGGCGAGCAGAAAATAATTATATTTATAAGGTTGGTGCCTACTATTGTCAGCGCGCACACTTACTGCGCATCTGCATCGAGGGATTCCCGCGGGTTTCAAAAGCAAAACACTCAAAGGTACAGAAAACGTCGGCCTTGGAAAAAATTAAGACCAAGAGCAACAGCAATAACTATTATGTATGTAGTAAAAGGTGTATCACAGAGTAATTTTCAAGAATTCAGGTTTTTTTTGGGGAGAAATCATATGTTTTTACTTTCTAGAAAAGGCAGTTTCGATGGCCTCGGATCGGTGAATAACAAAATAACTTTTTCAATATTTCCATACAGATAAGCTTAGTTTGTTTTAAAATTAAATGAAAAATGAAAAGGAACTACACAATTACACAGGAGGCAAACAAAGCTGCATTTTTCTTAAACGAAAAACATACGATAGTTGGTTAAAAACCGAACCGAATTATTAAAGATTTACAAAGCTATACTAAATAAAGGACGAATATTTGTTGTCGTAATATGCTCTCCGTGTTATATTTCCTCCAGCATTAATTAAAATAAAATCAAGCTTATCTATAGAAATATAAAAAGTTGTGAGAGAAAGTCTTTGATTTGCCGATTCGTCGAGAAAGATGCTTGTCAAAAA